ATTAAACTACATTTGTGACGTCATTCCATTTGTCTGCTCGCTCCATTACTTTTCAGGAATGGAGCGATGTGTACCAACTTCAAATTAAAGACTTCATTTTGTCATTTTGACATATAACTTTGATAACAGAAATATTCCCAATACTTTGAATGTAATTTCGGGAGTAGGGTAATATCCTCGTAACTCTCCATTCCTTAAAAACAATGTGCCTCTCGCACAAAAGAGTCTCGATCTAAGCTTGGATCGGATCGTCACAAGATCAAGGACCGGCTACGATCGGCCTAAGATAAGTTAGTGGAACGGATGTGTAACTTTTAAGCTAAGACGATTGTAAAATTGGCGTAACTTGCTAGATAAGACTGATCTTAGATAAGATCGGATTAGTGGAACGGCACCCTGGTCATTAAGAACTATCGTCCTTACATATATAAGAAAGGCAATGTGTCCACCCTGGATAATTACGGGACCGATAGTGTTCTATTTTAATCTGTAAATGCGTATATCTACTCTTCTGGTATTTTATGTTTATAGACACGTCAACGTTATTTCTTGTTACAGGAAGTCTATTCACCAATTTCACTCAGTTTCAATCAGGATCTACCTATATATTTCATATGGACGCTTGTAATTTATGGCACGCTTATATCTTGTAAAAAAGTGTAATTGTGTCAATATGTCTTAGTGGTGTGCTTGTTGCACGAAAATAACGATGTTCTCTTACTGCTGGTCTTGATGTAATGAAAGAGGAGTTGAAAGAGGGTGCCCCTGATGACCGATCCAATCAGTTGACGACAACAAGTTGTTTACTACAACAATATATAGCGAGGTGATTTGGAGAAATGGCAGAGAACCAACAATGAGAAGCAACAGAAGTCTCTGACAGACTCTCCCTGAGCTCTCCAATGTATGTTCCGAGATGCTCGTTAGCAGACCCCCCAATCATCATGAGATGCAGTAGAACTCTGAAGACAATCAAAATCTGTCCTGGCTGCTTGGCACTGACTATTCAGCAGTTGATCTTCTGGGTTGATGTTTATGTTGTAAATAGACGTTAATGCTGTCCTTGTACTGTTGTGTTGTCCCTTACTTTGCTACAACCCGCATCAAGTAGTTTCAAAACATCTAGCTAATCATATTGTGATTCAATGGAGGGTTCTATGTTTTTGAGGGTGTGATATGAGTCTGCGAGAGTCGCAGTATGTGGACACTTTTTAAAGGCGATGAAGTAATATGAGGAATATGTCTTCCTCGTGAATGATAACGTGAGGAATGTAGTCCCATGGGAACGGAAATATGCATACGAATACTTTACCAATGAAAGAGTAATAAAGCGGTAAATACATAAGAAATATGTATCAGGACAGAGGTAACACTATGTTTCCTTGAGAGTCGGTATAAACATGATGCATAAACAGCCAGCCAGAAGAGAGGACACATAGAAAATACGTTTGCAAGGGACGTTCTACATACACGAGGAACATGTTTCCATGAGGGATGATATTAACATGAGGCACGTATTGTCCTGAAAGTATTACGTACCTTGTTCAGTCGACGTCCATTGGGTGTTAGTGACTTGCCTTTACCGTCACGCCATGTGAAGGTATTCAGTCAGCATGTGTGTTTCATGAGAGGCCAGACGGGACTGTAACTTGAGATGTTGAGTAAACGAGCTTTGGAATCAGGAAGTTAACTAACACTGAAATAAAGATATCCGATATTCAGCAGACTAAAGAGAAGAGGCTATTCATTTTGGCGAAAAAACTTTCAAACATTCAAATTACTTTGCCTTTTCAAACATACAAATATGTTTGTTTTTTTTTAAAGCTGCCTATATATTCAGGTGACACAATGTACAGCTTGTTCAGCTTGACCTGATGAAGTGAATACTAATGCATTGCGTAACCGTGTCACAACTGGTTGGGTCCATTATTGTGAAGGGGTGCACCTTTGTCAGTTCATTGTCAACAACCGAAACAAGGTCGCCCTTTGACATCTTAGTGTCGAGAAATCGTCAGCAATGTCCTAACTATCTTTAAAAAGGAAGCTAGAGATGGTTTAAGTTTTCCGATTCGGACTTTTAGGAATTAATAACATTCTCTGCTCCCCTTTTTAATGAAGTTAACTTGACCTGCCGTTTGTGCCTTTTGACCTCCCGGGTCATGCATATGTAGAGTAGCTCAGGTCAATCTGAACAAGCTGTATACTCGTAAATCATAGTGTATTGTGTGTGTGCGTGTGCGGGGGTTGTCACTGTTAAAAGTATTTGAAGGAGCGGTAACTTTTCTGCACGCTGTTTTAGATTGGCAGAGCCCAAGGCGCGCCAATGATGTATAGATCAAGAACATGTTTGCAGTGACGGGTTTGTACACATAAAACACACGTTTCCAGGGATGGGGGTGCATACGTCAGGCATATTTTTTCCAGGAAAGGGATTTATACATCAACAATATGTTTCCAAGGAATGTATATATGCATTAGGAAATTTGTTTCAGCGACAGTGGTATATACATCAAGAATATCTTTTCATATACAAAAGAGTGTGTTTCCAACGATAGCGGACCCGTGGAGATCTGGATTAGAGTTATCTTCAGTAGCCCATGCTTGTCGTAAAAGACGACTAACTGGATCGGGTGGTCAGACTCGCTGACTTGGTTGACACACGTCATCGATTCCTAAATGCGTAGCATGTCACTCATGATTGTTTGCTCATGTTGCTCCAGACTCGATTATTTACAGACCGCCGTCATATAGCTGGAATATCAATGAGTGCGGCATGAAACTAAACTCACTCACTCATCCAACGATGGCGGTTTATACACGAAGAATGTTTTCAGAGGAGGGTGTGGACTAAAGAATGTATTTCAAGAGGGGAAGGTAATTGCATGAATAATATGCTTGTTGAAATGGCAGTAGACAAAGGAGAAAGGATTCAAAACATTCTTTCGTCACATTGAATTGTAAACAAACACATGCATGTACATTCTTCCTACAGAACTGACACGGCTAACCACACTAGCCAATAGCTTAATTTCGGTTGTGTAGGGAATACATTTAATTTAACGGAAGTTGAGTCTGACAATTTTTACACTTCACGTTCACACAGGCAGGTCGCGACGTTGCCGTAGATTTTGATACGAACACTCATCAAGCAACAAGAACATACAACAACTAATAAAGTAGGTACAAGAACGTAAACAACTAATTAAGTACGTACATGCCTTCCCCATCAGAACGTTAGGAAAAACGTTGAAGACTTAATGCAAATTTCTTATATCGATAACATACAAACAGTTATGTTTATGTTCTATTTAAAACGTCTTGGCAATAATTACAAAAGGTATCATGTATATCGCGTTCACTTTTCATATGCTATTTTAAACAGATCAAATTATGAATTTATGTATCCATTATGGGTCGCAACTACATTAATTTTGTTATCTCTTGTATAGTCAACATATAAACACTTTCTGATAAAACATGTGTTAAATAATTGTCAAGGTGTGCAGGCCAAAAACCAAGAGATTTTATGATGCTTCAATTTTATTGAGTTATGGTTAGGGGGGATAACTCTAGTGGGTAAATATTTTTAGGGCGCATCACGTTCAGTTAGAAAGCACATGGTGTTTACGGTTCGGAGACACTTAAATTAATTTGTGGATGCTTCAGAAGGCAAACAATTAGGTAAATTTATAAATAGTATAAACCAATGTTGTAGAATATAAAAAACACAATATTGATGTATATTATGTTGTATTTTTTCGTAAACAATGTGAAATATGCGAGGTAAAGGTTCGAAAGATGACGTAAAGTCTTAAGTATATATTTTGTAAAAGGTGAATAACAAAGGTATAGGTATAATATTTGATTATTTAATTGATGCTCAACAACATTGTAAACGAATTTTAGCAGTCAAACTTGTGAAACTTGTGAAACGTGCCAATCGTGTCAATGTGGCTTGTTTTGCCCTGTTAACGCTGTATGACTTTGGATTCTTGAAAAATAAAACTTGAGTCAAGACACATACGAATCTGTAATCTAATCATTACACAAGGTGCTTCTCCATTCAGAAACAAGACCGGAAAGACCTACATTCCATAACCACAGGAAGCATCTGCTTGAAGCAGAATCCATCCATAACTATAACACGAGCTTATGGCTAGGGGTGATGATGATTTTGAGAGGGTGGGTGGTGGGGGGTCACCATTTTGTTCTTGGGAGGTTTGGGGTCATCAATTTTGTACACATGTACCAGAGGGGGGTCAACAACTTTGTACATAAAGATATTTCCAAAAAGGAACAATTGAGGGAATTTGCTTCCACTGTCACAATACTTGTCCTGAACCTTTGTATCCATATGTAAGGTTAGTGAGGAAGGTGTCTTATTCCTATAGGTTCAAGCAATCGAGCACTTAAGATTTTCCTTCGGTTGTATCGTATTTGATAGCGGCCTCCAAAGTTGAAAACTGAAATGTTCTGACAAAATTGATATTGACTCTTCACTGAGATTGCAAAACTTCATGCAGATTGCTTGAACTCCAAAGATCTCATGGCATTAAATGTATAAATCCCGTTCTGGTTGTTTAATTGATTATAAATAATCATAAACATATTGATTTGGGGATACATTTGCTGTACCAAGCAATAAATCTCTCTTGGTTTAGATTTGCAGGCAGCTTTAGAATCTAGGGCAAAATATGTAATAACATGTCTTCAAATTGTGAGAGGGACCAAACGTGAACAGCATTGATGCGTTAATGTTGGTAATTTCTTCCCCAATAAATATATCAGCCAGTGTATTGAATTGGATCCATCCATCCGGCGTTGTCCGGGGTAATAATGTGCTGTGCTGTCATTGCTGTGCTATCATCAGGTACGCTATGAGAATACCTGGTGTGGAGTTTGGCGCTATATAAATGGACACATTATTATACATACATACACTTAGGACACAGAGAGACAGACAAGAGAGAGACCGCGTTTCTATACAAAGAACACCGTTATATATTTTGTGTTTGTAACAACTTTATTTTGACAAAAATGTCAAACAAACATATAAGTGAGCGTTTCTGTCATAAATTGATAGTGTCGTCAATGTGGTTTTCTTTCCTGTGAGACGATAACACATAAGTCTCAAATGAATGTACGTGACCTAAGACATCCAATAAGCGGTGAAGTAGTTTCGAGATCCAATGAAACAATGTTGGTTAACGGATCAGTCAGAATTAAAACTATCTTCAATGTACATACAAGTTCTTACACTTGTTCTGCAAACACGTGTGGATAATAACTGTTTCTAGTATGTTTAGAGTATATATTTATAGTATATTTAAGATATGTGTTATTAAGTAAAAGAAATAACAGGTATACTCTTAAAACGTCAACTTTGATATAGAAATACACGTGAAAACTGATCATGCTCATTGCTATCGGCAACATAACGTCAGCGACGTACTGCAATCACCCATAAAATATACACACATTGGTCGTTTTAGTTGTGAAGAATAACAAATAAAATCAATCAGTGCTTTCTGCTTTGACAGATATACTGAACCGCAGTATTAAAAAAAATACGTATACCGTCTTTGTATTTCAGTCCATATCGACCTCTGTATCCTTTCCAGTAAATAAGGTGAGTAATAGCTACATTTGGTTATCATAACACATATTTCACGCAATAATGTACATATTTCAAGCACAAAAGAAAGAAACAACATAAATAGTCGTTACGCTCTCAATATTCGATCCCATATATTGTAGAAGTTACTTCCTAACCATGAATTGGTGATCCTTTACAGTAAATTTTGGGAATCACCCCTTGTCTTGATTAAACTCACTTTAAGTGTCTTCAGTCTTTATCAAAGTTAGTTGTTTTTTTTTTATACCAATCATCATGCTCGTCTAAACATATTGCGGACAAGAATACAGATCATAAATACATAAATACATACATAGTTAGTATCAAGAGAAAATGAATTGTACAGCACTCTCAGGTGAAATTATTTATCATTAATCCGTTATAAATCTATGTCCATTTCCACACTGTTATAGCCATGCATTTTGTACATCTAGAGGATGCCCTATTGTTTTCTTTGAGGACGAAACATATTCTTCCGACAAAGACCATTTTTCTTCAGTATGAAATTAAAAGCTTCCTCTTCACTCTGCCAATACTTTCTCAAGAAGCATAATTTGAACTGACACATCCGCCCAAATATACAATCGAATAAAACACTTACAGATACACCTTTTAACAGCAAATATTGCAATGAAATACAAGCATAATTGGTCATAGTGTCAGTAAAGTAAAATCCGGAATGACATCAAAACCTTTCTTATGCTGATATAGCATTTTATATGGTAGATGTTAATGTGTACGTGAAATATGATGCATACACCAATTCAAATGACACTCACATTTACGAAAATATAATAGCAATTGTAGTAGTATTAGATTTTCAGACATTCACCAATCATATGGAATCAATGCCACTGATAGTGATGAACTTGTTATGCATTATCAATTAAAATGAAAACAGGAAAGTCCCGATGTGAGTAATATCCGTCAACTGTCCATCAATCCTTCATGTCCAGTATCATCGGAACATCCCGCATCATGTGCTGAAGTATGTAGCTGTGTCTTCACGAACAGGGCTCGATTGTACCATCTGAAATAAATGATTTCTGCATGATTTCTTTAGTGATATTATGACACAGGATCAGCGACGGGCTATGACAGTAGGATCAGCTGCGGGTTATATGGAAATATGAAAACTAGAGAGTGAATGTTGCGGGCGATGATGCTTCAGCAATCGTGCAGCTATTCACTGCATAAACATGAAAACGTTCGAGTCTATCGTTGATTACACTTTAGTCAGCAGTGAATATACACTTCACTATAAAACATCCAGTAACTCACCTTCTACATGTTGACAGTAGTAGTCTGTGGGATTGTTTGTGCACGGTATGCTGGCCTCTGAAATGTTATAATGCACCTGTAGCCCAGCACCACATTCATAAGGCGTCTTCACTCCATTAACACACCAGTAGTACAGAGTACAGTTGTTGGGGTAGGTGTTCGCCCTGGCGATGTAGCTGTAAATGCTGCAGTCACACTTGGAGGGAGGAGCTATAAAGCCAACAAGAGAGATGTCATGACACAACAGTTGCTCAACTCGCTATTTCTTTCAATACATCTGTCTCACAAGAATGTCACACGAAACCTTCCTTTTTTAATCGGGGAACTAGCTATAACACATTATTGTGGCAACATTCATCCTCTCATCTTCTGTACGATAAACCAGATCTTAGGGTTACTCAAAAGGGACCTATAATAAGGACAGTCCAACATTATGTATGTTAAACTACTGACAGATTTGTGTAAGGAATTCTTTATTTCAAAATACATATCCTCCTGGCTCTCCTTCTCACCACTGTCTTCGAAGACAAACATTACCACAGCATAATCGTGATTAGCTTTATGTCGTAGCTGTCTTGTGTTAATACGTATATTTTGTTACAGATTATCCAAACTGCTAGTAGTTATGCGACCAAACAACTGTTCACTTTATAGTGTATACATTTAGTCCAGTACATGCGATCCAATATTCAAATGGTTTTGACTACTTCTTGTTCACTCCTTCTTTTGGACTAGACTCACATTGAATGATAAGCAGAGTCAGATGAATAATAATCATAAAGTTAACATCTCTGCGGTGGAAGGAGCCATTTCTTCTTTATAATTAATCAAATTAGTTTACACCGCACATAAACTTTAACAAACATGTCACATACAAACAGTTAATACATAGAGATAAGCAATATGTACTCAACTACAAAGAACGCTTTCACACTTAGAGCAATAAATTATATTGAAAATGGGTATTCAAAGGCACTTAATATGGAGAATATCATAAAGACCAGGCCAGGTCTAACCTGATGTAGCCTCCTATTTCAACAATGGTGAACCATGCGGGGTGCATGCAGCACGCTCTTTTGTGAAAACGCGACCCAGCACGTGTGACCACAATTCCATGTGCCTAACCACCAACACGTGTGCAGAATTTGCTGAGTGATTAACAAAAACACGTTAACAGTTCTTGAGAGAAAAACCATGTTCATGACACGCCTTAAAAATGTTGAACGAGAACGTGCAATCGCATGCTCCATGCTGATCAGTCTACTGTGGCTGTTGCACGTGCCATGAGATGCAATAGATGGACAATTCACACCCTCAGGACATGTGTGCATCAAACGGGTACGCCCAGGTCAGGACGGCCTTTCGTGACGTCACATGTTGAGCACAATCAAATTCGGCTACGCCATATACCGTTCGACTGCCAACTTAAACTTTTTGATCAACTTGTTAAGCCTATTTTATTGTATGGTGCTGAGGTGTGGGGCTACGAAAACACTATTCAATTAAAACGTATTCATTTGAAATTTTGTAAATACACATTGAAGGTAAAAACAACAACCCCAGACTTTATGGTTTACGGTGAACTTGGTAGATATCCACTAAGTATTTCTATCAAATTTTTTTTTTGAGAATGTTATCATGATGTAAATTATTATTATCTCATGGTAAACTATCAAAAGTTATGTATAAATTAATGTTCAGTTTGCAAAATTCTCAGGCAAATGCTACATATCCACTAACAGCAGAAGTAAAATCTGTCTTAAAGAGTACAGGCTTTAGTTACATTTGGCAGTTACAAGAATTTCAGAATACCCATTGGCTGATAAATAATGTTAAAACTGTACTCGTTGATCAGTTTCTACAAACTTGGAGTGAACGTAAAGCACAATCATCGAAAGACCTATATTACAATATGTTTAAGGATAATCTTTATATTGAAACTTATTTGTTGCAACTTCCTCTGGATTTACGTATTTATACCACAAAACTTAGAACCTGTAACTATAGACTCCCTGAAAGTGGTAGATGGCATAAAGTTGATAAAGAAAATAGACCGTGTACATCATGTAAGAGTAAAATTGGGGATGAATTTCACTTTATGTTAGAATGGAATGTGATAAACGAATTACGAAACAAATATCTCCCTATTATTGTAAACATCCCTCTGTTGAAAAATATAATTCACTTATGTCTATCACATACAAACCAATACTTGTTAAACTTGCTCTTTTTGTGAAATTGGGCTTGCGCACGCTCCGTTAATATAACATGTATGTGTTTCATTGGGTTTTTTTATGTATATTTGTTTACTCTGTGTCATGTATATGACTCATGAGAATAACCTTTGATTTGACTTGACTTGTCATCGTTTTACGGGGTCGGTTGGGTAGCCTAGTGGTTAAAGCGTTGGCTCGTCACGCCGAAGACCCGGGTTCGAATCCCGGGTACAATGGGTGAAGCCCAATTCTGGTGTCCCCCGCCGTGATATTGCTGGAATATTGCTAAAAACGGCGTAAAATCAAACTCAGTCAGTCAGTCATCGTTTTACGACCGCAACGTCAACGCATTGTTTCGAATCCCGTAACTGCCAAGTCCATACCAAACCGCTTGTGTGCTGCCCTTCTTTCGTGCTTGACGTCCTTATACTGCGCCGATTCTGCCACAGGTAAACAAACCGTAATGGACGTCTACGCCGGGCACAATTGCACCTACAGATGGCTAAATGTCCTGCAAAATGCTGGTATTGACGTGATGGATTGGCCATCGAGATCACCTGACCTCAGTCCCATCGAGCACGTATCGTATGCTCTTGGAAGAAGCCTTCGTGCCTTGATACGTCAGCCCCGGAATGTTCAAGAGCTGGGCGGCGCCATGTTGGTACAGCAATGGCGCAGGCTGTCTGATCCTGTGTTCACGGGTGTTAGGCTGTCAGCGAGACAACGTTGCCTTGCTCTTGTGAATGCAAGAAAAGGACATATGCGGTACTGTACAAGCTCCAATGCAATTGCCTAGTCCCTGTGAAATCAAAAGGTGACCCAAGCGTGATGCTGTTGAGTATGGAAGGTGAACCAAACTCACCTTAATGCCTAATCCTATTTTAGCTTTACATCCATAAGCCAGATTTATCCACTCACAACATTTTATGTTCTATATGAGTATGTTTGGGACATACAGTAACACGTGTGCAGTTTCGTTTTTTGTTTAGCATAAGGTAAGATAATATGGCAAATTTCGAAAGAGAAATTATAATTAGTCACTGCATATATTAGTTTCTATGTGACGTAAAAACACAAGTTAGTATAGAACAAAACATATTGCAACAAGAAAGGAAATGGTATTATTACACACATATTTATGTACGACTTGTTTCGGTTAAAACAACAATACACAGCACACTTAAACACACCCAGTACCTGACGTGACGTTTGTTGGATCTATTTAAGAAAAGACAAAGCAATATTGAGGTTTTGCTGTGTTCTGAACACACTTTAAGGTGTCCACTTATATTGTTGGAACTGAATATCATCATTTCACATCACTCGATTACTTTTGACTTTCAAATCATGAGTTCTTGGACAAGTGTTAATCTCCATGAAACTGTGACAAATCATTGACATGGCGAAAGAGGACAAAGTTTACAAATACTTTATGACATTTTAAGTTATTGGAAATTGGACATATGACATACTAATAAGAACGTTCCACTATCTTAAACCTGCCAAGGGTCACACTGATAAAGAGCATCGGATATAGACACTCGCGTGCCACATACACATTCGTAGCGCAAGTGGACATCCATTATAAAATTTATCATCGATGCTTCGGTCCAACTAAATTATATAATCTCAAGTCTATAATTACAACGTTATCGTAAGTTTAATCAGTAAATGCGTTTATCTGTGATAGCTAGAATAGGTATATAATACGGACGACAGACAGTCACAAATTATTCTGTGGATGCCTTATCAACTCACATTTAGTCACTCAGGTAAGGAACGTTACTTTCCGATTCAACCTTACTACTACTACTACTACTACTACTACTACTACTACTACTACTACTACTACTACTACTACTACTACTACTACTACTACTACTACTACTACTACTACTACTACTACTACTACTGTCTGAATATGTACTATGATTATGTATATTGTATATCTTGTGTAATTACCCTCTCGGGTAATGGTATATTGCTGTATGCTAAATAGTCAGTCAGTATATCTTGTGTAATTACCCGCTTGGGTAATGTATTAGAGTATGTCGGGTTTGCTCTATTCAATGATACGTAAAATATTGTATTATATTGTGTCCCTTGATATCATGACTTATGTATCTTGTGTAATTCTTTTATTGCGTTGCATCATCCTTACCCACGGTAGTGACGGTTGTATCTTCAGTGTTATTATCACCAGCAGCTGAAAGGACAAAGACAGTCCTACATTACTGGTTTGGTTTACACAGTTGTGTGTCTAAAGACACGGAAAAAGACTACAATGTTCTCAACACCGTAATATAACAGACAGACATATATTGAATGCTAGATATATTGTATGGCTATCATCAAAGTTCGCTTTATCAAGCGATTTGAAGAAGTACGTGACTTTGCAAGGATAAAAGTCATACTCACTGGTTGGGGGACGTTGCTGTGCACAATATGACAGTGAAAGATCGTTGGTGCAGGCCAAAGCTTGTGTTGCATTAGCCATGAAAAAGGACGATCCCGCACACGTCCTATTGTAGGGAGCTCCATTTACGCACCAATAATAATCCTGGCAGTGATTTGGATGAGTGTATTCACGAGGAATATTGTCGCCAGTTGCTCTGCTTTTGCAGGAGAATGGATCTTGAACAAACAAAGGGTATGGTGAGACTTGGACTGCTAGTATTACCAGAAGGCACGTCCCGAGCCGCATAGTTGGGTACTAAGACTTATTTTGCTCAAATTTGATATGAACGTGCTCAGCCCCACGTTGGGCGCCAATGTAGCGGCCATAAAATTTCCGAGTCCCGTGCTGGGATTCGAACCACGAACCTTCTATTCCGAAGTCGCGATATTCAGTAGTTGACAGTAGTTGACAGTAGTTAACAAAAAAAATCCTCAATGTGCTAATTACCAATGGGTTTCTTTGTATGGCATTATACACTGCCAATAATGTCAGTTATGTGCGAGATTGTTTACATAGCCATTGGGTAATGAATGAGTGACTGACGCTGGTTATCGTGTTTATGCATAGATACCTTAACGAGTTGATAAAAATGAGAAAACACGGAGGGAAGCCTCAGAGTTTTCACCCTTTTATCAACGAGTGGTGATATATTTGATAGCAAAAGACAGGAGTGTGATTCTATTCATCATCCAATATCTTACTTAGTTTGTCGTTCAAGAGAAATTAAAAACGAAACGTCACCTGTAATAAGTTCATTTGAAGAAATTGCGTATGAATACATCCACGTGAACCCGAGTGATGGATGAGGGAACGTGTGACACCATTACGTCAAAAACAAGCACATAGAAAAGTAGTGCTAACATTCATTGCTTTAAATTCTGCAATGCATAAGTTTCACCATTTCTTTATTGCATTTTTAGTAAACTTTTATGCCGTTAGAACAAATCATGAACAATATAGCTCAAATGCTTTGGCCATCATTGTTTACAGCTAAGGGAGATGAAAGTAGTCAGAATATATTGACCAATCAGCAATTAGCTCAAAACTTCCCTAAACGATATCTCCTAGGAGATGTCGCTTGATCTTTTACAAGCGATATCTCCTCTGGAAACCAGTATTGGATGGTAAAAATCATACTCAGATTGAGAGTGTTGAAACAAAAATGACATTACCTATCGTCGTGGTTTCTGTCTGGCGCTGATTCAAGAAAAGAAAATGGTTTATGTTAATTATATGTTATGACACAACAAAAATATGCATTTAGTTGTTATGATCGTATCTACAGGATATCAAATATACAATGGCAGTAAGTAAAAACGCTTAGAATTTCAGGTCAAGTCCAGGTCAACGCGATACGACACTCGTGTGACGTACAGCGTTGACCACGTGGGTAATAATACGATGTCACAGGATGTAACCATACATTCTAATGTCCGCAACGCTCAACCATATGTCAGACATTACTTTTCAACACCGACATTTAACTATTTGATTATATAATTCAGGGGATAAAAAAGTCAAAGGAAACATGGCTCTTACCCACAGTCGTTCCTGTCCCACTCGTACTTTCATTAGCAGCTGAAACAACAGGAGGTAAGGTAGTTCCAGGATACAGACTTTCTACAGTCTCCATTAATGAAAATGCGGGAAATTTACCATGAGAATATAAACATTTATATTTCTCCAGTGGGCACGGATACATTAATCTCGTGATGACAGAATGTAAAGAGGAGACTGGATATAGGTAGTGCATGACACGCACATAAGTACTTGATGCCAGTTCCTAGGTAATTCAAGGATGAGGATTACCTTTCACTGCACAATATGAAAGAGCATAATCGTCAGTACAGGCCAACTCTGATGTTGTATTCCAGATGACATAGGAATCCCAGGACATGTAATGTTGGTGGGAGCACCGTTCACGCACCAGTAGTACTCTCTGCAGTGACTTGGGTATGTGTAACTTCGTGGTATGCGATCGCCACTCACTCTGCCTTCACAGGAGAATTCACCTTTGTGGAAGAGTCACATAGAAGTAGTCACTTACTGCACGTATCAGTCACCTACTGTAAAAATCAAGCACATTTAGGTACCTCGTAAGGATGGGAAAGGCACACTAACTCGGTGCTCCTAGTGGCTGCAAGAGTTGTATGATCCCCACGGAGTTGAGATTAATAATACTACTTGAGATTGACACCCAGTGATCGAGGGAAAAAACAAAGCGCCTTTGAGCAGCTGAGCTGGATATCGGCGCTATACAAATGTTACTATGTATGTATGTATATCAATGTCTGGATAGTACTTCAGTGTGGCAGATGTATGATGCACAGTGCCATTCAGAAAGTGGTCAACACTTTTTATACTTGGGATTACACTTTCTCTGTAAAGAACATATGTTAGAACCCTTTTGGTTAAGTCCCATTCGGCATTCGATGCCGCACTCTCAGAGTCAGGCACCAGATCACCAGCTCACCGATCAATCTCGTACAGCCAACGCAGCGTCGACAAAATGCTGGTCTGACAACTGGCACTCTATAGCACATATTTTTATCTCATTTAATCTCAAAATGCCTCCAACTGAGAGAGTGTTATCCCTGATGATAAATATGTTGAATTTGCCCACTTTATATGGCATTCACATTTTGTCAGAATTTTGCTAGGTCACTGATATGGTTTTGTATTTGTAAAGATAAATAAATAACAGGACTCATTTTCATAAACGTATTGATCACTAAAGGAGAAGAGCGCCCCAACCCTTTCTTTTGTTTAACGTATAAGTTTACTTGTTAGAGTCTTGTTTACTCTTTAGTCATAAACGTCTGTTATATACCTGATGGACCAGGAGGAGGACCTCCTGACGTACACATATCATTCTCTACATCAATGCACTGGCCTTCCCCACATGTCCCGATGTACACAACATCGTTGACACATGAGATCCAGAGTTGACACGTGTAGGGATGCTCTAATTTCCCAGTCTGGTTCACGCACATGTCCGCTGAAAAAATGATCATATAAATAATAGCTACTTCTTATAATACGCATCAGTATTTTGTCAGTCGAGAAATACGATGCCACTCAGTGTTGCTAATAAATGATTAAATGCACACAATGGTTATACAATCTATTCAAGTGTAGTAAATTGTCTGATATTTGTATCTACTTACATGGAATAACATGAACATCTCCACAGGCTGTGGATGTGTTAGCTCCTTGCTTGACGTTACAGCAGATGCTGGAGGCATTCCATGCCATACTGAAGGCATAGTAAAACTGGGAGGTCGCCTCCAGGGCACACGTGTCAGTCTGGTTCTCCGCCACAAACTCCTGTGTGATGAAGTTCAGTCTGTCCAGTGTTGTTCCATTGGCCAGTGTTGCACTCCAGTATACTTCAGCTGGAGGGACACCTTGTCTGTAGGTGCACACAAACAATGACGTCTCCTTCCATCTGCCTTCCACTATCTCAAACGGCAGGGTCAAGGTCGGCTGTCCTGATCGAACTGATACGAGAATCCGCAAGTAGTGGATTAAAAAGTGATCTCATACTAATGAAACAGAACTTACGTGTGTATAGCATATGTTGTGAGTGCGTGAGTATGTGTATACATTATGAAACTATTGAATTATGCATGACATATTTGAAGTCGAGTTTTCGTTGATGTTCTATATTATGCCTCCAGCATCATTTAGCATGTGGCTATAATTGCGTTAAAACAGACGTTGTCAGTGCTTACCAAGAACTGTAACATTCGCCGTCGTTGTGAGATTCCCCTCTTCGCTCACTACGCGACATTCATATCCACCGGTGTCAGTGCAGCGTGGATCGTTTATCCTGTAGGAGAACTCGGTCATGTTGTCGCTGATGTCTGGAGACTGGTCTAACAGGGCGTCATCCTTGAAGAAGTGCACACTGCTCAATGTGTAGCTTCTGTCCATCTGACACAGGAGAATCGCGTCCCCGTCTCCTTCGTAGACACTGACATCGGTCATGGACAACGTCGGTGGAGGAAGTGATGTTGTTGGAATGACGGTGGATGAGACGTCATGCGTCGTTGGAGAAGGATCTATCGACGCAGATGTGTAGTCTGACATAACAGAGCGTGTGTTTGATACACCAGGGCTTGCCGATTCGATAACCGAACCAGTACTTATCACAGCAGAAAGTGTTGTTTGAACAGCTTCACCCAGGTTTGATGTTTGTACACCTACCTCCGGGATCGATGTTTGGAGACTTACATTCGGGCTTGACGTTTCAACCACTAAATCCGAGGTTTAGCTAAACGAATGCTCTACTGCTTACGGTTTGGGTCACAGGATGTAACCATACATTGAATGTCCGCAACGCTTAACCATATGTCCGACATTACTTTTCAACACCGACATTTAACTATTTGATTATATAATTCAGGGGATAAAAAAGTCAAAGGAAACATGGCTCTTACCCACAGTCGTTCCTGTCCCACTCGTACTTTCATTAGCAGCTGAAACAACAGGAGGTAAGGTAGTTCCAGGAAACAGACTTTCTACAGTCTCCATTAATGAAAATGCGGGAAATTTACCATGAGAATATAAACATTTATATTTTCAGAGAGGTGGTAATCAGACTAAACTCCAGTGGGCACGGATACATTAATCTCGTGATGACAGAATGTAAAGAGGAGACTGGATATAGGCAGTGCATGACACGCACATAAGTACTTGATGCCAGTTCCTAGGTAATTCAAGGATGAGGATTACCTTTCACTGCACAATATGAAAGAGCATAATCGTCAGTACAGGCCAACTCTGATGTTGTATTCCAGATGACATAGGAATCCCCAGGACATGTAATGTTGTTGGGAGCACCATTCACACACCAGTAGTACTCTCTGCAGTGACTTGGGTATGTGTAACTTCGTGGTATGCGATCGCCACTCACTCTGCCTTCACAGGAGAATTCACCTTTGTGGAAGAGTCACATAGAAGTAGTCACTTACTGCACGTATCAGTCACCTACTGTAAAATCAAGCACATTTAGGTACCTCGTAAGGATGGGAAAGGCACACTAACTCGGTGCTCCTAGTGGCTGCAAGAGTTGTATGATCCCCACGGAGTTGAGATTAATAATACTACTTGAGATTGACACCCAGTGATCGAGGGAAAAACAAAGCGCCTTTGAGCAGCTGAGCTGGATATCGGCGCTATACAAATGTTACTATGTATGTATGTATATCAATGTCTGGATAGTACTTCAGTGTGGCAGATGTATGATGCACAGTGCCATTCAGAAAGTGGTCAACACTTTTTATACTTGGGATTACACTTTCTCTGTAAAGAACATATGTTAGAACCCTTTTGGTTAAGTCCTATTCGGCATTCGATGCCGCACTCTCAGAGTCAGCCTCACCAGCTCACAAAGCTCACCGATCAATCTCGTACAGCCAACGCAGCGTCGACAAAATGCTGGTCTGACAACTGGCACTCTATAGCACATATTTTTATCTCATTTAATCTCAAAATGCCTCCAACTGAGAGAGTGTTATCCCTGATGATAAATATGTTGAATTTGCCCACTTTATATGGCATTCACATTTTGTCAGAATTTTGCTAGGTCACTGATATGGTTTTGTATTTGTAAAGATAAATAAATAACAGGACTCATTTTCATAAACGTATTGATCACTAAAGGAGAAGAGCGCCCCAACCCTTTCTTTTGTTTAACGTATAAGTTTACTTGTTAGAGTCTTGTTTACTCTTTAGTCATAAACGTCTGTTATATACCTGATGGACCAGGAGGAGGACCTCCTGACGTACACATATCATTCTCTACATCAATGCACTGGCCTTCCCCACATGTCCCGATGTACACAACATCGTTGACACATGAGATCCAGAGTTGACACGTGTAGGGATGCTCTAATTTCCCAGTCTGGTTCACGCACATGTCCGCTGAAAAAATGATCATATAAATAATAGCTACTTCTTATAATACGCATCAGTATTTTGTCAGTCGAGAAATACGATGCCACTCAGTGTTGCTAATAAATGATTAAATGCACACAATGGTTATACAATCTATTCAAGTGTAGTAAATTGTCTGATATTTGTATCTACTTACATGGAATAACATGAACATCTCCACAGGCTGTGGATGTGTTAGCTCCTTGCTTGACGTTACAGCAGATGCTGGAGGCATTCCATGCCATACTGAAGGCATAGTAAAACTGGGAGGTCGCCTCCAGGGCACACGTGTCAGTCTGGTTCTCCGCCACAAACTCCTGTGTGATGAAGTTCAGTCTGTCCAGTGTTGTTCCATTGGCCAGTGTTGCACTCCAGTATACTTCAGCTGGAGGGACACCTTGTCTGTAGGTGCACACAAACAATGACGTCTCCTTCCATCTGCCTTCCACTATCTCAAACGGCAGGGTCAAGGTCGGCTGTCCTGATCGAACTGATACGAGAATCCGCAAGTAGTGGATTAAAAAGTGATCTCATACTAATGAAACAGAACTTACGTGTGTATAGCATATGTTGTGAGTGCGTGAGTATGTGTATACATTATGAAACTATTGAATTATGCATGACATATTTGAAGTCGAGTTTTCGTTGATGTTCTATATTATGCCTCCAGCATCATTTAGGATGTGGCTATAATTGCGTTAAAACAGACGTTGTCAGTGCTTACCAAGAACTGTAACATTCGCCGTCGTTGTGAGATTCCCCTCTTCGCTCACTACACGACATTCATATCCTCCGGTGTCAGTGCAGCGTGGATCGTTTATCCTGTAGGTGAACTCGGTCATGTTGTCGCTGACGTCTGGAGACTGGCCTAACAGGGCGTCATCCTTGAAGAAGTGCACACTGCTGAATGTGTAGTTTCTGTCCATCTGACACAGGAGAATCACGTCCCCGTCTCCTTCGTAGACACTGACATCGGTCATGGACAACGTCGGTGGAGGAAGTGATGTTGTTGGAATGACGGTGGATGAGACGTCATGCGTCGTTGGAGAAGGATCTATCGACGCAGATGTGTAGTCTGACATAACAGAGCGTGTGTTTGATACACCAGGGCTTGCCGATTCGATAACCGAACCAGTACTTATCACAGCAGAAAGTGTTGTTTGAACAGCTTCACCCAGGTTTGATGTTTGTACACCTACCTCCGGGATCGATGTTTGGAGACTTACATTCGGGCTTGACGTTTCAACCACTAAATCCGAGGTTTAGCTAAACGAATGCTCTACTGCTTACGGTTTGGGTCACAGGATGTAACCATACATTGAATGTCCGCAACGCTTAACCATATGTCCGACATTACTTTTCAACACCGACATTTAACTATTTGATTATATAATTCAGGGGGATAAAAAAGTCAAAGGAAACATGGCTCTTACCCACAGTCGTTCCTGTCCCACTTGTACTTTCATTAGCAGCTGAAACAACAGGAGGTAAGGTAGTTCCAGGAAACAGACTTTCTACAGTCTCCATTAATGAAAATGCGGGAAATTTACCATGAGAATATAAACATTTATATTTTCAGAGAGGTGGTAATCAGACTAAACTCCAGTGGGCACGGATACATTAATCTCGTGATGACAGAATGTAAAGAGGAGACTGGATATAGGCAGTGCATGACACGCACATAAGTACTTGATGCCAGTTCCTAGGTAATTCAAGGATGAGGATTACCTTTCACTGCACAATATGAAAGAGCATAATCGTCAGTACAGGCCAACTCTGATGTTGTATTCCAGATGACATAGGAATCCCCAGGACATGTAATGTTGTTGGGAGCACCATTCACACACCAGTAGTACTCTCTGCAGTGACTTGGGTATGTGTAACTTCGTGGTATGCGATCGCCACTCACTCTGCCTTCACAGGAGAATTCACCTTTGTGGAAGAGTCACATAGAAGTAGTCACTTACTGCACGTATCAGTCACCTACTGTATAAATCAAGCACATTTAGGTACCTCGTAAGGATGGGAAAGGCACACTAACTCGGTGCTCCTAGTGGCTGCAAGAGTTGTATGATCCCCACGGAGTTGAGATTAATAATACTACTTGAGATTGACACCCAGTGATCGAGGGAAAAAACAAAGCGCCTTTGAGCAGCTGAGCTGGATATCGGCGCTTTACAAATGTTACTATGTATGTATGTATATCAATGTCTGGATAGTACTTCAGTGTGGCAGATGTATGATGCACAGTGCCATTCAGAAAGTGGTCAACACTTTTTATACTTGGGATTACACTTTCTCTGTAAAGAACATATGTTAGAACCCTTTGGTTAAGTCCCATTCGGCATTCGATGCCGCACTCTCAGAGTCAGCCTCACCAGCTCACAAAGCTCACTGATCAATCTCGTACAGCCAACGCAGCGTCGACAAAATGCTGGTCTGACAACTGGCACTCTATAGCACATATTTTTATCTCATTTAATCTCAAAATGCCTCCAACTGAGAGAGTGTTATCCCTGATGATAAATATGTTGAATTTGCCCACTTTATATGGCATTCACATTTTGTCAGAATTTTGCTAGGTCACTGATATGGTTTTGTATTTGTAAAGATAAATAAATAACAGGACTCATTTTCATAAACGTATTGATCACTAAAGGAGAAGAGCGCCTCAACCCTTTCTTTTGTTTAACGTATAAGTTTACTTGTTAGAGTCTTGTTTACTCTTTAGTCATAAACGTCTGTTATATACCTGATGGACCAGGAGGAGGACCTCCTGACGTACACATATCATTCTCTACATCAATGCACTGGCCTTCCCCACATGTCCCGATGTACACAACATCGTTGACACAATCTATCCAGAGTTGACACGTGTAGGGATGCTCTAATTTCCCAGTCTGGTTCACGCACATGTCCGCTGAAAAAATGATCATATAAATAATAGCTACTTCTTATAATACGCATCAGTATTTTGTCAGTCGAGAAATACGATGCCACTCAGTGTTGCTAATAAATGATTAAATGCACACAATGGTTATACAATCTATTCAAGTGTAGTAAATTGTCTGATATTTGTATCTACTTACATGGAATAACATGAACATCTCCACAGGCTGTGGATGTGTTAGCTCCTTGCTTGACGTTACAGCAGATGCTGGAGGCATTCCATGCCATACTGAAGGCATAGTAAAACTGGGAGGTCGCCTCCAGGGCACACGTGTCAGTCTGGTTCTCCGCCACAAACTCCTGTGTGATGAAGTTCAGTCTGTCCAGTGTTGTTCCATTGGCCAGTGTTGCACTCCAGTATACTTCAGCTGGAGGGACACCTTGTCTGTAGGTGCACACAAACAATGACGTCTCCTTCCATCTGCCTTCCACTATCTCAAACGGCAGGGTCAAGGTCGGCTGTCCTGATCGAACTGATACGAGAATCCGCAAGTAGTGGATTAAAAAGTGATCTCATACTAATGAAACAGAACTTACGTGTGTATAGCATATGTTGTGAGTGCGTGAGTATGTGTATACATTATGAAACTATTGAATTATGCATGACATATTTGAAGTCGAGTTTTCGTTGATGTTCTATATTATGCCTCCAGCATCATTTAGCATGTGGCTATAATTGCGTTAAAACAGACGTTGTCAGTGCTTACCAAGAACTGTAACATTCGCCGTCGTTGTGAGATTCCCCTCTTCGCTCACTACGCGACATTCATATCCACCGGTGTCAGTGCAGCGTGGATCGTTTATCCTGTAGGAGAACTCGGTCATGTTGTCGCTGATGTCTGGAGACTGGTCTAACAGGGCGTCATCCTTGAAGAAGTGCACACTGCTCAATGTGTAGCTTCTGTCCATCTGACACAGGAGAATCGCGTCCCCGTCTCCTTCGTAGACACTGACATCGGTCATGGACAACGTCGGTGGAGGAAGTGATGTTGTTGGAATGACGGTGGATGAGACGTCATGCGTCGTTGGAGAAGGATCTATCGACGCAGATGTGTAGTCTGACATAACAGAGCGTGTGTTTGATACACCAGGGCTTGCCGATTCGATAACCGAACCAGTACTTATCACAGCAGAAAGTGTTGTTTGAACAGCTTCACCCAGGTTTGATGTTTGTACACCTACCTCCGGGATCGATGTTTGGAGACTTACATCCGGGCTTGACGTTTCAACCACTAAATCCGAGGTTGATGTTCTACATCAGGACTTGATGTTCCGACAACTTCACTCAGGGTTGATGTTCTGACAACTACATCCAAGCTTGATGTTACAACAACTCCATCAGGGCTTGACGTTCCGACAACTTCACTTTGGGTTGATGTTCTGACAACTACAGCTGGACTTGATGTTCCAACAACTTCACTCAGGGTTGATGTTCTGACAACTACATCCGAGCTTGATGTTACAACAACTCCATCAGGGCTTGACGTTCCGACCACTTGGGCAGGTTTGATGACAATCAGGGCTTGACGTCCGGGTTCCGAAACCCAGGTTTGATGTTTCGACAACTACATCTGGGCTTGAGATTTGCGTTTTTTCGGCCACTGAAAATTAGTGCAATGGAAATGTGGTTATTTAATGTGAGGTAGACCAAATGTTGAAACTGTCTACTCCGGATATATTTACCATAAATAATAGTTTCAATCTGCCCAATGTGAACGGCTATTTGTTATATGAAAACATTTCTAACAAGTTAAACTTGATAACGGGTCTCATGGATAAAAACGTGTTTGGGCACAGAATGTTTTTTGATGGAACACAAACGAGTATTACCAGAAGCATGCACAGTAATAAACAGATAGTCTATGTTCACATGAATATTCTGAACATAGTAAGGGACTTCAGACCCACTATGTTGGTAAAAATGTTGAGGGTGTAATATATTTTAGTTTCTTGTTGTGACACACACACACCAATGAATGATAGCTTGAACATCGTCTTGGTGACCGACGTCATTGTGTTAGGTAGCGTAAGGGGTCATGTAACGTCATGCAAGATTTCTCTTGATGCCACAATTCACTTTCATAGTATTGCTATCTGGATGATAGCAGTATGGTACACATACAGTGACATAATACTTCAAATGTGGCATTCAATTTAGCACGTGTCAAGCTATTTAATGTGGTTGAGTTTATGAAACGTCAGTGCAAAAGATTTCCCAGTCTTCATAAGAATACTTTCCAGTCCATGCTCTTAATGTCAACAAGTAAGCCTAGATCTGAACTAAGACGCCATACATACACAAGTGTCCTCTAGTATGCTTAAGATGCAAACTATTATCTTTAGTCATCCAGTAAGCCTAATATAACATATGCATCGTCGTTGTCAAGCCTGCATCAACGCCAGTGGTGGACACGATTCTAGAGATTACGGCCTAATCTGTCGAATTTTGAACAGTCAGCAGTGCCGATCCGTCGAATCGTTTTTGAGTGGTTCTGTGCAAATCGGTCGAATTTCAGACCGTGTTAACACACACAGACGATGCTGAGTTTGTGCACTCACCTTCGACACCACATCTCTTCAAGGGCGTGTCACGATGCCTAAAGTCAAATCATCCGAATTTCGATATTATGCCGTCCACAGTTAAACAGTGATTTAGGAGCGCACCACAGATCACCTTATTATCTTTCAACATTAAAATGGCATAACATCAAATAACGCAGTTATTTTATTCCAGTAGTATATATCAGGTGAAGGCATATATGTCAGGTGGACGCAATCCAACTTTCCTACCTGGCTTTACTGCTGGTGTAGCCTGCCTCGTCTCATCTACAGTGGCCACAACAACTGTCACAGACCCCGTCTCGATGACGTAGATCGACACTGTCGTGGTTGGGGATGAGGGGGCTTTAAAGATGTTTGTCACAGCAGCCTGCACAGGAGCTGGGGTTTGAACGGCGAAGTAGAACAGTGCTACAATGATGACGGAGCCGTTACTGTAACACAAATGGAGGGTGAAGGTGTACAACACAATGTACAATGAAGAATGTCAAAACATGCATGTGTCGTGTGTTTCCTATTGCCAGAACACATTGCCACGAATAACATATAAACTATATAAAGGTTTAGGCATGGACCCTTAGTTTATGTCATTACCGTTACTATGTCAATCACCGTTACTGTGTCATCTACTGTTACTGTGTCACATACCGCTACTGTGTCACATACCGTTACTGTGTCATATACCGTTACAGTGTCATGAACCGTTACTGTGTCATGAACCGTTACTGTGTCATGTACTGTTACTGTGTCATATACCGTTACGCTGTCATATACCGTTACTGTGTCATGTACCGTTACTGTGTCACATACCGTTACTGTGTCATATATCGTTACTGTGTCATGTACCGTTACTGTGTCACATACCGTTACTGTGTCATATACCGTTACTGTGTCACATACCGTTACTGTGTCATGTACCGTTACTGTGTCATATACCGTTACTGTGTCATATACCGTTACTGTGTCATGTACCGTTACTGTGTGTCATACCGTTACTGTGTCACATACCGTTACTGTGTCATATACCGTTACTGTGTCATGTACATACTGTACATGTTACTGTGTCATGTACCGTTACTGTGTTCACATACCGTTACTGTGCCATGTACCGTTACTGTGTCACATACCGTTACTGTGTCATATACCGTTACAGTGTCATGAACCGTTACTGTGTCATGTACTGTTACTGTGTCATATACCGTTACGCTGTCATATACCGATACTGTGCCATGTACCGTTACTGTGTCACATACCGTTACTGTGGTCATATACCGTTACTGTGTCACATACCGTTACTGTGTCATGTACCGTTACTGTGTTACTGTGTCATATACCGTTACTGTACATAAAATACCGTTACTGTGTCATATACCGTTACTGTGTCATGTACCGTTACTGTGTCATACGTTACTGTGTACCGTTACTGTGTCATATACCGTTACATGTGTCATGTACCGTTACTGTGTCATCTACCGTTACTGTGTCATATACCGTTACTGTGTCACCGGATGTCATCATACCGATACTGTGCCATGTACCGTTACTGTGTCACATACCGTTACTGTGTCATATACCGTTACTGTGTCATGTACCGTTACTGTGTCATGTACTGTTACTGTGTCATATACCGTTACTGTGTCATATACCGTTACTGTGTCATGTACCGTTACTGTGTCATATACCGTTACTGTGTCATATACCGTTACTGTGTCATGTACCGTTACTGTGTTCTATATCACTGTCTACCGTTACTGTGTCATCTACCGTTACTGTGTCATCTACCGTTACTGTGTCATATACCGTTACTGTGTCATCTACCGTTACTGTGTCATTTACTGTGTGTCATGTACCGTTACTGTGTCATGTACTGTGTCATGTACCGTTACTGTGTCATATACCGTTACTGTGTCATATACCGTTACTGTGTCATGTACTGTTACTGTGTCATCTACCGTTACTGTGTCATATACCGTTACTGTGTCATATACCGTTACTGTGTCATGTACCGTTACTGTGTCATGTTACTGTGTCATACCGTTACTGTGTCATGTACCGTTACTGTGTCATGTACCGTTACTGTGTCATATACCGTTACTGTGTCATGTACCGTTACTGTGTCATGTACCGTTACTGTGTCATATACCGTTACTGTGTCATGTACCGTTACTGTGTCATGTACCGTTACTGTGTCATATACCGTTACTGTGTCATGTACCGTTACTGTGTCATATACCGTTACTGTTACTGTGTCATGTACCGTTACTGTGTCATGTACCGTTACTGTGTCATATACCGTTACTGTGTCATATACCGTTACTGTGTCATATACCGTTACTGTGTCATGTACCGTTACTGTGTCATATACCGTTACTGTGTCACATACCGTTACTGTGTTACTGTGTCATATACCGTTACTGTGTCACATACCGTTACTGTGTCACTTACTGTTACTGTGCATACCGTTACTGTGTCACATACCGTTACTGTGTCACATACCGTTACCATTTGTATTTTCTTAGCTGGACATATAAGGACAAATGTGCAAGAACATCCTCAAAACCTGTACGTTCCATCATGTAACAAAGGGAGGTAACTGCTGGTCCAGCGAGTTTTGTTGAGTCATCATATTATCATATTCAGGCCTCTTACTGTTTCACTGTCTTCGACTCCAGTATTGGCTATGAGGCAGGTAATATTTACCTTCATCTACTTTTAATATGGACTTCAAATGAAATATGAAGATGGTATGGATTTATTGGGTTAAAAAAAAATGTCATCATTTCAATTAAATCATCCTATACAGATTTGTTCAGACGTCACTTTCATTAGATGTCTCTTACGCGTTTATCCTCAATGACAACATGTCGATACTACCTCTCCACCCATACCACCTCTACCACTACCACTACACTACCACACTACCACAACCACTCAGCACCACCATTACCACCATCAACATCAATACCAGTACTACTACTACTATCACTACCACTATCACTACTACTACACTACTACTACTACTACTACTACTACTACTACTACTACTACTACTACTACTACTACTACTACTACTACTACTACTACTACTACCATCACTACCACTACCACTACCACTACTACTACTACTACTACTATCACTACCACTACTACTACTACTACTATCACTACCACTACCACTACCACTACCACTACTACTACTACTACTACTACAACTATAACTACCACTACCACTACTACTACTACTATCACTACCACTACTACTACTACTACTACTACTACTACTACTATCACTACCACTACCACTTCTATTATCACTACCACTACTACTAGTACTACTATCACTACCACTATCACTACCACTACTACTACTACTACTATCACTACCACTACCACTACTACTACTACTACTATCACTACCACTACCACTACTACTTTCACTATCACTACTACTAGTACTACTATCACTACCACTACTACTACTACTACTATCACTACCACTACTACTACCACCACCACCTACTACTACTACTACTACTACCACCACCACCACCACCTACTACTACTACTACTACTACTACTACTACTACTACTACTACTACTACAAGATCTAGCTAGCTCAGAGTTCATATATGTTCCAAACATTTTGCGTTTGACACATTGAGT